TCTGTGTGTAATCAATTCCTTTTCCTTCCTTCTGTTGCTGTAAGTAATTGCTTCAGTAGGCTTTTGAGACCTTCCATCCAGAGAGAAAATTTAGGCAAGCTGAGATCTTCAAAGCTTCCTGCCAAACCCAAAGAATGGAATTATGTTATGGATCTTGAGATAAGAAAGAGAAGATAAGGCCCCTCTGGCCACTTTGTTTATGGGATGTGGTCTGCCTGTGATGGAAGGGGTAAAATTGAAAGGATACTGGATACCATATCAGAAGATAGAAGAAGGAAGTTTCTTCCCTATGTCAGGCTTAAGCCAGGCTTTATTACCTCTGATGGATCGTGTTCAGTAAAATCTCCTGAATTTCTCTGAGCCAGCAAGTCTCATTCTTCTTTTAAGTTACCCTGTGTCCTTATGGGATTCTAATACTGGAAAAGTAGCTCTGGTGTCATTAAAATGTTGTTAATATGATTATTAGTTGAATAATTATATCTACTTATTGAGCACATTTTGCCAGACATAGTAAATACTGGGCAATTTATATTGAGCAAAGCGTCATAAATGACTTTTTGAGGGAAGTATACTTAGAGCCCCACTTTATAGATGAAAAAAACAAAGGCTCAGAGAGGTTAAACGACTGTTAGAAAGTGGCCTTGAACACCATGTATAATAGAGCATAAATTGAACCCAGGCAGATTTGGCTTTAACACACTGAAGTTTACTCCTTCATTGTTTTACAACTGTGAAATATAGATATTTCCCTGTTTTAGCTAAGACTCTGAGATGTAAAGTAACTTGTTTAAGTTCCTAAAAGGCAAAGATGAGATTTGAAACTTGGTCTGTCCAACTGAAAAGTCAAAACTTTCTGCTGCTCCAATATCTTATTTAACCTTCATATCCAACTAATTGGTAAGTATTATTATAAACCTCATATTCTTTATTCACATACTATTACAGAGAACCTGATATGTACAAGTCTTGGTCCTAGAAATTCAAAGCTGTAACAAAATATGACTTCTTCCCTCAAGACTTTACACTTGGCTGGGGATGCCTGCTAAATGACACAGTCATGTACCAGGTGCTATAGGAGAGACATCAAGAAAGGCATCACGAATGTTAGGAAGCTTGAAATACGGCAAGAGGAGAAAAGAGGCTCAGAAAGTTTAAATTACTTGTCCAAGAGACACAGCTAAAATGTGAGAAAGCCCAAGATTTGAATCCAAATCGGCCTGATACCAATTTATGTTCCTTGAAGGCCAGGGCCAGCCATACTCCTTTTGCATACCACAGCTCCTAGCAGAGTGCCTGGGACTGAGGAAATGTTTAGAATATGTTTAAACAGCTGAATTTCCTTTCCTGAGGCCCAGCAACATGATGTAGCCCCACAATTCTAGGTGTGAATGCAAAAACATTTTTCTTAAGGTCATGACTCGTAATTACTTCTGACTGAACCATAATCATGATCATCACCCTTGATGGTGAACTCACTCTAGGCCAGGCAGTGGCTAAGCTATTTACAGATACTATCTCATTGAATCTCTACCGCCACTCGCTGGGGTAGGTACTATTTCTCCTTAATCTAAAACACTAATGCTCCCATTGTGTCCACATAATTGGCCTGAAGACACACAGGCAGGAAGAGACTTTAGGCAGCATGATAGCACAATAGGTGCTCAGTAGATGGTAGCAGTTACAGTGAAAAGTAGAATGCAGGTCTTTTTGACAGACCATCTAAGACAGCTAAAAATCCCAAGGGCTCACCAGTTCTACCCAGTGAGTCCTAAGGTCTTGCACATTTATGCTGTCTTTTCAAGTAATACACTTTATTCTGCATTATAAGAAAGGCATACATTTGGGGGTCCAATTAAATATAAAACACTATGTAACTTGAGCACAGATATGTGTCTAATTGGCTCTGAAAACTAACCTTTTCATTTGCATTGAACCCATTTAACAAATCACTGGGTAATATTAAAAAAGCAGAACTGGCAATGTCACAGGACTAGAAATGGACATGAAACAACCATTTGTAAAATAAAAGAATGCTTCTATTCATTATTATCTGAAAAAAATCTAACTACTGTATCTCCTAAAACTAATAAGACAGCAAAATTCCAAAATTCAGGAGGAACAGAACAATTAATAGCACTGAGCATTTATAAGGAAAACAGGGGCTTAACAGATTTCTATGGTGAATGAAAGGGATTGTGAGAGATGGTATGTGCTGCCAATATAGGCTATTTTTATACATTATAACAACTCTGGACTAGTGCGTTAGGATTCTCCAAAGAAACAGAGCCAATGGGATGTATATATACATATATATGTATGTATATATATGTATGTGTATACATGTGTATGTATATCTAAAGGGAAATTTATTTTAAGGAACTGGCTGATGTGATTGTGGGGGCTGGCAAGTTTGATATTTTGTAGGGCTGGCCGGCGGTCTGGAAATTCTGGCAGGCATTAATGCTGCAGTTTTGAGTCCAAAGGCAATCTGGAGGCACAATTCTTTTCTCCTTGGAGGGTTTCAGTCTTTTACAACTGATTGGATGAGGCCCACCCACATTAAGGAGGGTAATATATTTTACTCAAAGTCTATTGCTTTAAATGTTAATCAGATCTCAAAAATACTTTCACAGCAACATCTAGACTAGTGTTTGCCCAAGCAATGGGGTACAAGAGCCTAGCCAACTTGACACACAAAATTCACCATACTGTATGACCCATGAATCCCACTCCTGGGCATATATCCAGAAGGAACCGTACTTCAGGATGACACCTGCACCCCAATGTTCATAGCAGCACTATTTACAATAGCCAAGACATGGAAACAACCGAAATGTCCATCAACAGATGACTGGTTAAAGAAGATGTGGTATATTTATACAATGGAATACTACTCAGCCATAAAAACTGACAACATAACGCCATTTGCAGCAACATGGATGCTCCTGGAGAATGTCGTTCTAAGTGAAGTAAGCCAGAAAAAGAAAGAAAAATACCATATGAGATCGCTCATATGTGGAATCTAAAAACCAAAACCAAAACCAAAACCAAAAAAACAAAGCATAAATACAAAACAGAAACAGACTCATAGACACAGAATACAGACTTGTGGTTGCCAAGGGGGCGGAGGGTGGGAAGGGATAGATGGGATTTCAAAATTGTAGAATAGATAAACAAGATTATACTGTATAGCACAGGGAAATATACACAAGATCTTATGGTAGCTCACAGAGAAAAAAATGTGACAATGAATATATATATGTTCATGTATAACTGAAAGATTGTGCTCTACACTGGAATTTGACACAACATTGTAAAATGATTATAAATCAATAAAAAAATGTTGAAAAAGAACAAAATTAACCATTACAACTAGTATATTCAAGCAGGCTGGGAGGAGTACATCTGGACTAAATTGGTAGGAATACTAGGAAGAGGCATCTGTAGTACAAGTAGATTAAATGAAGGAGAGCAAGAGGCTTGGGTGTGACAGTTGTTGCTTTAAAATGAATTTTATTTAACTTAAATAAGAAATGATAAGTGGCAAATTTCTCTTGATTTCATAGATATTATTAAGACAAGGCATTCCATAACCCCTGAGACAGATGAATGAAAGCCTTCTGTAGTATTGATGACAGAGATGCTTCAGTGAGGAAGCTAGTGTAAAAATAACCCTTGCTTCCTGATGGTGCCACAGCTGGATGCTTAAGGGGGAAGCCAGCTTTCAGCATGAATGGGCTGCTGTGGAATCCTATTTCTAGCTGTCAAAGCAGAAGGTTTAGCATCTTCTTCCAATATTCTGGTAACTCAAAGGAGGAAATTGAGATGATTTACTAAAGTATTACTTAGAGAGCAAGCAATTCAAAACAGGACACCAAACTGAGGTATAAAAAAGGAATATTTATCTTTTAAAAATACAACTTTGAACACTACTGACATCTGATTTACAAAGTATTTTCCTGAAATCTTCTCCATTGGCTTTGCTGACTTAGTACATTCTCTTATTTTCAGATTCAAAGGAGGGCAGGCTTATGTCATTAGACCTAACACCAGAGAAGAAAAGATCCTCTCTGCTTCAGGATATTTGCCCCAGACTTCATCTTTTCCCTTTCTTTTCCATCAAGCTGGACTTCCTGACTGGTCCACGCACACTCTGCCATTGTAATCTGCTGATGGGCACTGCAGAGCTGGAGCTGTCCCTGGCACTCAGCACTCCACGTAGAGCTGACCTATTTGCAGGAAGCTTCACAACCCTGACCTATTATTTATTCATAACCAAGAATTTTCTATTAATACTCATCAGAACTCTTTGCAAACATTCAGCATGAAGTAAACATAATATTTACAGCAGTACATGGTTTGCAATTCAACACACTGATAGCAGAAGAAGAGGGACCACCAGACTTTGTAAGAAGGACAGAGGGGAAAGCATAGTAAAATAAATCCCTTCTGCTAATGTGTGTGTGTGTGCACGTGCATGCACATGCACACACATGTTTTTAATTCATAGAAAACTAAACATGCCCTCCTTTAAAAGCAGACTATTTACAAGATGATTCTGAATACCACATACACATGCCAGTCATACTGGACACTTGCTTGCTGTGAATACATCTAGGTTTTTTTTTTTCATTCTGAAATAAACCTTTTATCTGATACATTAGAGAAAATAACTTCGAAACATTTGTCAACTTTTGGTTCACAGTAATTTTGCAAAAAGCCACAAACCATGATTTGTCTTTTAAAAGGTGAACCTGGTCAAGCACCTTCGAGAAGACACTGATGTGTTAGTCACTTACTGGCCTACTGGGGATTGGAAAGACAATGTCAGTTATGGAGTCCCTAGTGCTCCTCTCAATTCCTCTCACCAATAGCAACATTAAGGGAAAAGAAGTTCTGAAACACAAACCACATACAAATCATCAAAACATTTCAGTTATCAGAGTTTAAAAAAATACCACAGTCTACAACAGTAGTATAGACACTGAAAACACCCTAAATACTCTTTAGCCTCAGGCCTTTTTAATACTACCAATAAAAAAAGACAACCAGTTGACAGAAAGGGGGGAAATTACAGCACTTGAGGTTTGAGTCAATTTCTTTATAGTGCCTGTAGCTCAAGGTGCTGCTCTAGGATCCTTATTTTAACTCAAAAGATATTCCAGGAATGAATTGACAAATTTAAAACAATTTCCACTTGCAAACCATTGAAAACACAATATCACTTTCCAAGCTTGTCCAACACACATTTATTTTCAGGATCCCAGGTTGTCAGGCAAAGGGATTCAGGTCAGTTTCAAGCCCTCAAAGCCACAGAATTTCCATCTCTTCTCCAGACTGGCTCCTACTCCAGTCATTTCCTGCTTGAAGGTATGCTGGAGTCGGCTCATGAGACATTCCACATCACTGGTGCAGATCTGTGGGACAGAGAAGACATCACTATTCAAAACCAGTCCCACTTTCCTAATCTGGCTTTTCCCCCAGCGTTGCTTTGGATTGCTGATGCCTGCGTGGGGTTGACCTTCTCCTCCTTGTGTGTATGTCCATATTGGCTGAGTGGCTTCCAGATGGCAGCCTTCCTCTGCTGTGGCCACTAGACAGAGTCCACTGAGCTTTCTGTTTCTGTATTTCATACCGACTTTATTTAGGTATAATTTACATACAGTAAATTCATCTATTTGACATGTATACTTCAATGAGTTTTAGTAAATTTATACAACTATGCAACTGTCACCACAATTCAGTTTTAGAACATTCCATCACCCCCCAAACGTTCCTTTGTGCCCCTTTGTAGTCAATCCTCACTCCCAATCCCTGACTCAGATTTTTTCATGGTGGTTTTTCATTTTCTGGAAATTTCATATATATGTGATCGTATAATATATAGTCTTTTGTGACTAGTTTCTTTCACTTAGCATGATGTTTCTGAGATTGATTACCATCGAAGTTTCTAATGGAAAGAGCTGGTGTCAGTCGTGTTGAGAGGCCTGGGTATGCAGCTGGCTGAATGACGACTTATCAGTGCTGGTGATGTTATGTGCAGGCCCACTGGAGCTGCAAAGCCTTTGGGGAGGAGAGGGAGGCGGAAAGGGCTGCCAGAGCAGAATTCTTCACACATGTCTTAGTTCACAAAGGAAAAGTGACAGGAATCGGGACCGCTCTGTGGTCCTACTTCTGTGTATTGTTTCCCTCTCCCCACATCTCTCTCTCTCTCATAAACACACACATCAATATAAAAACAAAACCAAATCTATGGGCCTTTAGGGGTTTGCTTTAGGTGGTCACCTTTATGTTAGTAGCAATTTTCCTAACTGTGAACCTGGGTGCTCGGGCTTGGCTGAAGAGCACTAGGGGATCCTTAAAGAAACCCCAAGTTACTGTCACACCGAATATTCCTAAAGCTGGTGGGAGGTACCAGCCCCAAATTCTGTTGGTACCTTTGCAGTCTCTCTTTGGGAGCCCCTGGCACTACCTTGGCAGGAAGCTGCTCAGGAGGAACTGGGACTAGGCTAGGTGTGAGGTCATGCTTTGTCCCCAGTGTGGCAGCAGACTGTATCCATTAAATGAAAGAAGCACATTGCAGAGTATCCTGTAGAGTTGAATATCCATTTCAAAAAAACATAAGTATACAATGTGTATAGATCTATACATACAATATAGGTACAGCAGATGTATAGAAAACAGTCTGAAATGAGATAGGCGAAACTGTTAACATTGGTCATCCTGGAGGGGTGTTACTGTGGGGAACTGTCACTTCCCCTTTACTGCAGTTCTAAATTGCTTACATTTTAAAGAGAATATGAATTCATTATTTTTGCAATTAAAGAAACCATAGATCATTTTTACTGACATATACTTCAATTTCCAACCACTTCGACTGACCACTTGGTCCTGGTGCTCACATTCCATCCTTCCCTCTACTGCCAAATGGGCCGGCTGCTTAATGGCAGAATAGCATCACTTCCCGGAGATAAACATTGCGGGCAGTGCTAGCTAGAATGAAAACAAATGCCATGAGGAGGATGTCTCACCACAGCTGGATTCCCAAATTGGCCCGTGCCTCTGTTAAGAGGACATATGTTTAAATGGCTTAACATTTTGGACATCTGACTGTCAGGAATCTGCATTCCAGTGGCACTTCTCAAAAGGCCCAGATCCTGTGAAATAGTGAGTGCAATCCATGAGCAGGTTTAACTGGATGCTGCATCTGAAAAACTCTATCATGAGTTCACTTACTCTGAGGGGTCAAGAGTCCCCTCCTGCTTCTATGAGGCACCCCTGACTTTCTATGGAACTAGCATTTACCCTTGCCTTAATGCCTTTTGAGTCCCCTCACAGGATAGCATCCAGTGAGATCAACTGTGAGCAAATATTCAGTCTGTATTATAGACTTATTGTTCCAGCTTCTTTTACCGCTGCCTTGATTGTGTCATTGTGGAAAATGGCAGTGGTGATGGTGATGGTCAGGGAGGTGGTTGGAGTAAGACTTCCAAGACTTTGAAAATGAACATTTGCTAATGGCTAAAGGACCAGGGCAAAAGTTTGATTGGTGAGAAATATTGGTTAAAATTTTGGTTAATTAGCATCTGATATGTAAATTAAGAGAAAGAAGGAACATTCTTCTAAGATATGTTTTGGAAGTAGGGTGGTCAACTCATTCAGGTTTGCCCAGAACTTCCCTGGTGTTAGCACTGGAAGTCTCAAGTCCCAGAAAACCCCTCAGTCCCAGCCAAACAGGGACAGATGGTCACCCTCCTTGTAAGAGAGAAACTCTACACTGAATCACAGTAGGAGGCTAGGTGAGAGAAATTTCCTTATAACGATTACTAATGACTTATTTATGCTTGAGAAGAGTGAGATCACCTGTTCACAAAGAACCTACATCCCCTTGCATGCCCATCTCAGGCCCCCACATACCTTATTATCTAGACGGTGCAGGTAGGAGCAGATGTATTCAATGCTTGCTCCAAATGGGTGGACATGAAGGAATGTGGAGATAATCCCTGTAGAGACAATACCATGGAGGTAACCCCTGAACATTGTGTTCTTTGAGATGTCACAAGGTAGTGTATAGCATGAGCCAACTCACGTGTACACCATATTATGCCTTAGACACTATTCTAAGTTTACATATATTTTACTCATTTAATCTTTTCAACAACGCTGTGAGGTAGGTATTACCATCTCCATTTCACAGATGAGGAGACACTGAGGCACAGAAAGTTTAAGTGACTTGCCCAAGGTCATACATCTGATAAGGGGCAGAGCAGGTATTTGAACCCAGACAGTTGCTCTTAACCACTGTGCATACTGCCTCTCATTACACTGTATTACATGTGGAAAAGGTGGCATTTGAAGAGTCACTTCCATCATTCGTGATGGCTAAACACCATTTGAGCTCTCCATTTTACAATGAATTTAGAGTTTTACAATGAATTTAGATTGTGCTTGGCTTTTGCAGTTCCTCTGTACTGTCTTTAAATTGGATTTTAGCCTCTTATGCATTTAATAATGTCTTGCTGTTGTGGCAAAAGTACAAATCATGTACTTTGCCTGATTAACCTTGTGATTCTCACAAGAGAATCTGCTGATTGTATTTGGGTTTGATTCTGTGAGTAACTCTGTAAAGAAAAGTCAAACATTTCATCCACTCAAGTGGTGACTAGTATTTTGTTTGTCCTCAGAGCCCTGACTCTCTTTAAGCATCAGAATTCTTATAATAGTTTCTAGCCTCCAGGAATGTGTATGATTTCTACTCAGCATAACTCTGGGGTGATTGGCAGCTACATATACTGCCTTGATTATTCTGGACATCAGGTTAATTGTTCTAATACTACTTCTTTTTCTGGCAACAGGTAGAATACAAATTGTTCAAAAGTCTACTATTTTTCCTTTATTTTTTTTGAATTCACCTCCTTTCATAAGATGTAAGGTATATCAAAAGACCTAGAATTGTGTTTGCTGAAAATTGCCAGGAAATAAGTGCTAAATTTGATTTGGTTTATAAACTACAATTTGTCTATCCCTTTAAGCAACTGACAAAGACTATCGCAAGTTTAAATTGTAGTTTGAGGTTCAAATCAGTTCTTTGTGAAGATCCTCCAAATATTGGATGGCACGGGGGTGTGTTGGGGGATCAAGGAGGAACTGATGATAGAGTTCAAAATCTATTCAAAAATGGATACTATTACTTATGACACTATATTACTCTTAAATGACTTGGTAAACTGAATTTCTAAACACTGACTCAAGCTGAGAAACTTAAATTCTGAAGAAGACAGTCTGTGTTCAAAGAAATTCTAGATGCTATGGCCAAGAAAGGCTGTCAAACACCAAGAAATATCTCCGTAGATTTCAAAACACATAGCAGTTTTTGTGGGTTCACACCCAAAGAACCAATTTAAAAAATAGATTTTCCTTTCTGTCAGCTTGAGACTAGTTTCTTTAAAAAACAAAACATGAAACACTTATCTTAAGAACCTTTGTTTCTAGAGCTATCCCTTTACAGAGGCTTCCTCCTACCCATGGCTCTTCTCTGACAGGTCTCCCTGTTGCCATGCCAATTTGTTAAAGAACTTTGAGTCGGGAAACGGAAATAAGTTGTCACTCTTCTTGAAGACTCAATGGCAGATCCCTCTGTGCATCTTTATTAACATATCAAAGTATTAAATCTGAGTACAATATCCATTACCAAAGGAGGCAGATACAACTTTAAAATATGCAGAAGTTAATTAGAGGGGAGAACTTTTGAGATTGGGGTGGGGCTACTGTGTGGCTCAGCTTCCTGAAAGGCAGCTGGGATTATCTGCTGAGGCCCAAGATCAGCCCCTTTTAAATGACTGAATATTTTAAGATCTCAATCTGCCACTGTTCTCCAAATAGAATATAAAGTCAACAAGCATTTGTGAATAGAGTGCTGTCAGTGCAAAATGGTTCTCATTTATTGAGGGCTTACTATGGGCTGGGCACTGTGCTAAGTGATTTAGATGAATTATCGTGTTTAATACACGCAGCTGTCCTTTGAGATAGGTAATATTATGATGCCCATTTTGCAGATGGAGGAACTGAAGCGCATGATGGAAACGGTGGGGTGAAGACAGAAAGTCAATTCTGTCTGACTCCTTAACCATTTATGCTATCTTGCCTTTGTGAATACATTTTTATGTAATTCTAGCATTTATCTCATCAGAGCCCACCAGTGGCCAACAGCCCATAGACAGCCCCCCGAGTCATCTGCCAGTAACCTGAAAAGACTTAAGAGAGACACATATTTCTTCCAGAGGCTTGCCTGGAGAAGCTCTCTGCCAAACAATGTCTGCATTGTCCCCTTGAGAGCTCACCTCACTTCTCAGAGATTTTAAAAATCTACAACATGTTTCTCCAGCGGACCCCCTCTTAGCTTAGTGCTCATACCAACACACTTGATGTGACAGTGGCAACAAGGAGCTTGAAGAGGGCTGGGAGCTGCTTTTATCATTTTTATTAAAATCCATACTTGTTCTTATCATGTCGTCTTCAGGACTCTGGGTCATTGCACTCATACTTTATAAATGCTTGGTATGCGCTTATTCATCTTACATAAATCCTCCCCCCTGCCCCTGCCCTGTGACTGTTCTTTATATATTGAATATGTGTTAGCTTCCTTACCCACTAGCAGTGCTTCACGTTCAGATTTGATGGGACTGCTGTTCAGGGTCTTCTCAAGAGGGTAGTCACTATCCTGGCTCGAGGCACACATTCTAGAGGCACAGTTCTCCTGTGGGAATAATGTCTCCTGGGTCAGTGCCCCTTATTTGGTAACAGATTTGGTTTCAATTACACAAGAAAACTTCTTAACAGCACCCTGAAAGCAATACTGTGCAATTTTGATTACTGAATGGGAGGGAAAATAGCCTAAATTACAAAAGCATCATCAATAATCCAAAACTTCTTTATAAGGCTTCCAAACACACAAAAATTTAGACATTCACCTTCACTAGATTTTTTTCTTCTGCTTTCATCATTCTTGACTCTATACAAGAAATTTGGGGAAACAGACCCAACATGTATTGTCTATGAGATGCCAAGCACTGTTCGGTATGTTTTATCTCCATTCTACAGGTGAGGGAAGTGAGGTTCAGATAAATTATGTAACTTGCCTAAGATCACATCACTGGGAAGTGGTAGAGCCAGGATTTCATACCAGGACACCCAATGTGAAAGGACCATTCTTTTTTATTTTAGATCCACACTCTGCTAAAGGTAAGCCCCATATCTGAATGGAGAATCTACAGTGTAGCTAATTCACTCTCAGGTAATCAACTGCTGGCTCTTGAACTAAAAATTAGAGCCTCTATTTATTGACTATCAACTCTCTGTCTTCTCTCTGATAAGGAAATTATCAGTTAGGATATTTATGACTTTACAGCTAGAAATGACCACGACCAAAAATATCATTAGTCAGTGCCTTTCCTTGTTGAAAGTTTTCTCTTTCTGAGTATAATAGGCATGTTTCATAAGAGATACTCAAGTGAAATCCATAACCAGCAACGAATCTGAAAAATACCTCCAGACCTTTCTTTCATAGATCTTTCTTTCTCTCTTTGGGTACTGAGAACATCTTTTCTGTATTTTAAATGTGAAGGAAGAACCTTCAGAAGAAAGAATAAAAGAAATCACTCCTTCAGTTTCGTTGTTGTAAAAGAGAGTGCTTGGGAAATGTCCTGGAGGGGTAGCAGATCACAGCTGACTCAGATGCTTTGTCTCGTCTTTCCTTCCACAAGCCCTCAACAGGGACACGTTTCCTTACTTTTTCTTTAAAGATGCCTTCAAAGCATCCAGGATGCTGCTCCTGAATGAAACTAATGGTGTTTTCTGCAAGACATGTTGTTTTGTGAATTTACAGGCTTCCAGGCTGTAGTCAGAAAGGAAACCTTTCCTGATGACCTACTCAATCTTTGACCTTTAGAATCCAATCCAGTCAGTAACCATCATGCCAAGTTTAATTTAAGCAGCTGGCTCACTTCTAAGCCACAGGCTGTACATCTGTTTCTAACCCCCTTAAAACATTAAATGATCCAGTAAGCCATTTCTTAAGTGTGAGATTTTAACAGACTGGGGTTGATTAAGATATGAAAGACATCCTGAGAAGTTTTGGCCATCTTGGATAGAAATGTAGCCTTACTGAAACCTGACTTCAATTTTATTAGAGCTGGCATTTAAAAAATTAGTAGGTATATTGAAGGGATGCTTATCCTCTTGAATTTTACTAGCAGATTCAAAGAGCTAGTTCTCGCTGCAGTAGGACAGACATAAGTCACACTGTTATATTGCAAAACACTGACAATAACTCACACTGTGGTTTACTGTCAAGAAACCCAAACAAAAAGAAGAAAGATCCCTCCTCACCAAACTTATTGCTTTTCTTTCAACCTGAAATTATTTTTGCAGTCTAATGTGATGGTACTTTGCTTCCTAACCTAATTGTGTCAGTTTGAAATATTTGGTCACAAATCAGCTTCCCAGAGAAGATCCGTTTATAATGAACTGTCATGACTTTCTCTGAAGGAAGCTTCACTTAAAATAACAGGAAAAAACATATTCTGACTCACATTTTTTGATTATCAGTTAGCTCTCTCTTCCTGTCTTCTTTAGCTGTCATTTCATGGTATATTTGTTTTCAAATTAGAAACACTTACACTTATGTATAATATCGAAAGATTCTTCTATGCCATTTGACCTCTTGCTTCTTTAAATGAAATACTTTACAAAGCAGAGAGATGCTTACACTAAAAAAGTCCTCAAGTCAATTTGTGATGTCATTCCTAAAGAGCTACTCTAAGCATAATGTTATTAGTATAACCCCACGTCTATCTATAGTCTTTTGGCTACACACTCCATTTTATGCATGAAGCAAAACAGAGCTAAGTAGCTAAGTAGCAGCTCTGGGACATTTTAGAAGCTCTGATAGTATGAGGAAAGTCCTGCTAAATAGAGCAGCTTTGGCACTTTTCAATTAAATGCTTGATAAATGAATTTGTCTGGGATTGTGCTCGTTTCTTTAATAGCACCCACAAAACTGGAAAGTGAGTTGGTTTTATGAAGTGGAAGAATTAAAAGCATATTGCAAATGGCCTCCAGAAGAAAACACTTTCAATCATTTGTTTCAACTACACCAAGGTTGCCAGTTCTCAACAGCACTCTGGGGGAAGTCACTAAGCTAGCAAACACACTAGAGCCTGTGTGTATTGCATCTTCCTGAGCTGAGCACAGAAGATAAAGAGCACGAGCTCTTGTAGAACTGTAGAACTGTGGAATTGATTTCTGGCTCTTGGTCTAAACTCCTAATCTCTTCCTTCTGAGGCATTAAAATCAGGCAGTTCTGGTCAATGGGCCTTTCTTTTCAGAGGATAACTTCAGTTGAATGTTCAGGCATAAAGGAGATTAGAGAAGTATGACAGGGAGATGCTATCAGTAGACTTTACTCGCCTGAAATAGACTGGGCACCCGATGCATGGTTGTGATATAATAATCCATTTAGAAGTTAGCAGACTTTCTCGGAGGTCCTCACTGACGGTTCTTTTTGCTGCAGGCTCTCAGTAGGCACAGTCCCATTTTGCCTTCCCTGTTGCTGTTATCTAGCTTTAGAATATTGTGTCTCCTTGTTAGCTTTCCTAGGTTCCTTCTCTTTTGATTTTGGCTGTTTCACCTGCAGCAGCTCATTATTATACTAGATGGAGTGTCTGCAAAGAAATGTCAATGCTCTATTTGTACTTGTTTCTTTGTTTAATGAAATGCTTAATTAAAAGTATTTTGTGTCACATGGGTTTTGTATGTTGCTATTTGCTTGACAGATGAAGCAGGGTTGAGGTGTGCACTCTGATCTTCTCCAAAAAGGAAGACAGGAATGTTAGGGATGGATAGACATTTTATTCATTGAAAAGCACACTCTCTAGAACTTTAAGAAATGCCAAGGACTCACACCTAAAAGCATAGCCCTTGATTCAAGAATTACCCTGGAGAGAGGCTTTTAATCCCCAATCAACCAAACATTCCACATTGATACCTATTGATTGGTAGGAATTTCAGGGCATTTTCACTGTCACTGAAAAGGGAGAAGGGCGCAAGGGAAAAGTGTTACTTAGGACTCATGTACCTTTTCTTTAAGATTTTCCAGCATTTTTTCCACCTGTAACTTGTCATCTTTGATTTTTTCAAGTTCAGCTTCTTTCCTTTTGTATTCCTCTTGGACTTTGAGTAGATGCTACAAGATAGACCAAAGACAAGTAAGTCTTAAGGAACCACATTTCACTTAAAAACCCTGGCTGAAGTTAGATATTAGGCAGGCCTGCCTCACTTTCTCCCAACACACACAATCATTTCTCCATGCAGATACTAAGAGGAAAATCAAGATACTTTTCACTTGAAGTTATTTTATCTGGCTCTTATGAACTTCTTTTGGAATTGTTCATATTTTAGAAAGAGTCTGAGAAACTAATTGATCTAATCACGTAACTTTCCTATTCCAGCCAGATGTAAGGGTAGGGTGCAGTTAATACTACGTGGACAATATCTTGATTTTGGTATAGAACTGAACTTAATGTTGTAAAGCATTCTTGCAAATAGCCATTTTCCAAGCCAAGTTCAATTTCTGTGAGGAAAGTAGTAAAGAATCCAAATTTCACAAATGTTAGTTCCCTTATCAGTAAGCAAGGAACTACATTCAATATTAATGATCACTACAAATACTATGTATATAGCATCTAACATGTGCCAAGTATTGCGCAAAGGGTTTCATACGCATGATCTCATTTAAGCCTCACAATAACCCTATGATACATAATCCTGAAGGTTAGAGAGGTTTAGTGGTTTGCCTAAGGCTATTCATATTGTCAGTGCCAGAGCTGGGATTTAAACCCCAGTTGAGTCAACCCCACAGCCCATGCTCTTAAGCAACATATTAACTATACATCTTTTGGGAATAAGATGGGATAAATTTAATCATTGTTTACAAGGCTATTTTCCAGTAAAAAGTAATCAAAATGAGTGAAATTAATTTTTCAGGAGGTAGAGACCTAATTGTCTCACCAAGGTTTCCGAAGTGATGGAATGAAAAAAAAAGTTCATCAGTTTTAATTTTAATTTAAGTAGCAGAACTGTTCTTATGTGGAATGGTTTCAAAATTAAGGTAAGAGGGGAAAACAACAAGAAAATGTTTGCAAAGTCTTGCTTTTCAGAGGCTTGCAAAAGACCATTGGGAGGGCTAAAAGACACAGTACAATGTACATCGTCAAAATTCTTTGAAGTCTAGCTGAGGAGATGTTTTATATTTTTTTGGTGGAAAGATCTCTGATGTAATTTACATGTTCTAATTAAACTCCATGGTGATAGTAAAAGGAAGGTAAGCATTACTTCACACATTTTGCTAATAGGAAGGGTGAAGTATTAATGTGATATTACTTGTCACATACGAAGACAATGATAGCAGAAGTAATAGGAATATGGGGCTCTTAGTGCCAGAAGAGACTCCCTGTTCACAATTTGTGATTTCTAACCATCAATGAGCTTTGCCCTAGATAATTCCAAGGCATGCAATTAAAAAATTATTGCACAATTTAAGTTGTGAGGAAAATGGCTGGTAGTCTGGCAAGACAGAAGAGGATAGTACTCTTATTCAGAAGTACTACTCCTTTACTATAATGGGAACAGATGTTGATATTTGTTAAATAGTATACTCGCTGTGGTGATGGTTACATAAAACTTCTAAGTCTTGAGCATCTATTACACAATATTGTGTTTGAATGCAATTACAGTTGGATGCACTTATTTACTTTACTTTGTATACTTGGAATAATGTGCAGGTAAACTCATTCACATAAATGACTGTGAAAACAAAACAAAACAAAAGCAAATTGGTATTACGTGCCCAAAAGCATTGATACTTAAAAACCCATAACACCCCTCCTTCCACCCAAATCAAGGGTAGAATTCCTGCTATTTCTTCTAAGAGACTGTATTATTTAGCATTGTATCAACTAGATACTTATTCACCAGCACTTTTTCATATCTAAGTAATTGAGGCTCTTCATAAGGACCCCGAGACCCTATTCAAATCCTAAAGTAACTTCTGAAGCATAAAGAGCATAATGAAAAGATTAGGTTATGCTCGGTGTAGTTTTATTGCTAAGTATTTTTTACTGAATACTCATTCCTTGAAAATTGGTGATCCACTGCTACCTCTGTATTAACCAGAATATTTCATGAACTGTGATGCATAAACCCTTCCTCAGCTATGCCAAGAGAACAGACTATGAAGAAGAATAAGAGGTTTGCTATTCTGTTTGCTTGTGGGGGCCCTTTTACAGGTGAGGAGCTGATATTTGCCTTCCAAAAAGCTCAGAAAACCAAAATTTCTTTACCTGTTGCATTCCTTGCAGGGCTTGCTGTAGGAGTTTCAGCTGCTGTTCCTTGTTTGGGTCATCTTCTCTGAGGGCTTTGCCTTGTTCTTGCTTAAGCAGTTCCACCTCATTCCGGTAGGCATCAAGCTGCCAACGGAGGCTGTCATTTTCTTCTTTCAGAGCTTCTGCCTGTGATACTAAGGCTAAACAATGAATATAAAGTAGTAAAACCATATATCCAGATTCCATTGTGGTTCACTTTAGTACCATGAAAACTTGATATTTTAAATAGACATGTATGAAAAGCTTCTCCTTGAGAAACTTTATTTTAAAAAAGTTTTTAATGGAGGTACTGGGGATTGAACCCAGGACCTTGAGCATACTAAGTAAGCATGTACTCTACCAATGAGCTATACCTATGCCTCCTCAATGAGGAACTTTAGATCTGAGTTCGCCATGATAGCAAGAGATGTATACAAAAGCATATAGACTTATTTCTGTAAATGAACACAGGATTCCAACACACAGAAGTCCTCATCATGTTTCAAACTTTTCACTCAATATCACTAAAATATTTCTGGCTAACATCAGTTACTTTTATTTGAAATACAGCAAATGATAAGTGCCTGTAATGATAAAATAGAGGGCTAATTGTCTTGAACTAATGACTGTCTATACAATAATTTTGCTGATGGTTGTTTTTAAAACATGTAGCCTTGACTGGTCCTATAGAGGAAAGGTAAATATAAAAATTAAGACACAAGACTTCTAGTTTCGGGTCTAGCATGTAAGGAGCTTAGAAGTCACCACTCCCTCCTAACAACAAGTAAAAAGCTGAACAAACTAAAAAAAAATCAACAACTCTTCTTAGATACAACAGAGAAGTGAAGTAACAGGGCAAACTCCTGCCCCTAAATTTGGAGAGACAGACAGGTGAATATAGACAATCATAACTTACCAGACCAGAAACCCATGAGCACAAATCCCCACAGGAAACAATGTCAAGGTAGGAAAACCTAAACTGTACTTGACAATTTGCTGGAGGCTCAGTGTGGACAAATCAGATAGTTAAAAACTCCAGGGAGATGCAGTCATAGTGAGGTCCCTACACTTTCATGAGTTTTATCTCCAGGAGCTCCACCAGGTCCTCAGACTGAATATCAGAGCAAAATTCCTATGTGCTTCCAGCAGGGGAGGGGGAAAAAGAAACCCATCTGAAATATGCCAAAGCATCAAGTCCTTCTTTAAAAGGTCTGCCCCAAGAAGAAATTATTTTACCTGAGCCTAACCTGCTGGGGTAGTATGAGAGTCTAACCAACCCAGGGAACCAACGAGCTCCAGCCTCCTCTAGCCATTCTGTCCCATCTAAATGTGGAGAAAAAAACCCGAGAAATACTTGTGAAGTTCGAAGTCCAGAGATATAGGCTTACTAAAAGACTGAGACCTAATCATAGGACTATAAAGTGATTCTCCTCCCTCCATACCTTACCACCATACCACAACAGTCCTATTTACCAGAGTTCCTTTCACCCAGTACTTCATGTCCAGACTGCAGCAACAAAAAACATTACAAGGCATAGTAAAAAGTAAAAAAAAACCAAAACCAACCAACCAAACAAACAAACAAACCCCCACAGTCTGAAGAGACTGAACAAAGATCAGAAGTAGAGCCAGATATGGCAGAAATGTTGGAATTATTAGACTGGGAATTTAAAACAACTATTGTTAATGTGCTAAGGGTTTTATCATAAAAAGTAGACAACATGGAAGAGCAGATGGATAATATATGCAGAGAAAAATTCTAAGAATCAAATAGAAATGCTAGAGATCAAAAACACTAACAGAAATGAAAAATGCCCTTGATGGGCTTATTTAGTAGATTGGGCATGGCTAGAGAAAGAATCTCTGAGCTTGAGGATATGTCAAACTTCCTAAACTGAAAAGCAAAAAGAAAAAAATTAACCCCCCCAAACCAGAATATGCACGAATTGTGAGATAATTACAAAAGATGTAATGTATACATAATGAGGGTATCAGAGGTAGAAGAAAGAGAGAAAGAAACAGAAGCAATATATGAAATAATAATGACTTAGAATATGTCCAAATTAGTGTTTGACACCAAACTACAGATCCAGGAAGCTCAGAGAACTTCAAGAAGGATAAATGCCAAAAAACAAGGCCTAGGTATATAATACTCAAACTTCAGAAAATAAAAGAGAAATAAACAATCTTGAAATAAGCTAGAAGGGAAAAAAACACCCCACCTATAGAGGAGCAAAGATAAGAATTACATCCTACTTCTCCTCAGAAATCATGTAAGTAAAAATAGAATGGATAGAATACTTAAAAGTGTTGAGAGAAAAATATCCATCAACTTCTAATTGTGTACCCTGTGAAACTATCCTTCAAAAGTGAAGGATAAATAAAAACTTTCTCAGACAAATAAAAGTTGAGGGAATTTGTTGCCAGTAGACCTGCCTTGCACGAAATATTAAAAGAAGTTCCTAAGAAGGGGGAAATGTATAGCTCAAGTGGTAGAGTGCATGCTTACCAAACACAAGGTCCTGGCTTCAATCCCCAGTACCTCTTCTAGAAATAAATGTAAGTAAACCTAACTACCCCCCCTAAATAAAGTAAAATAAATTTTAACAAAAGAAACAGTAGAGTAGATGAGGTATTATTTTAAAAAAAGAAGTTCCTAAGAGAGAAGGAAAATGACATGTCAGAAACTTGCATCTATATAAAGAAAGGAGCATAAAGAGCATCAAAGAAGGAATAAGTGAAGGTAAAATAAAAACTTTAATTTTTCTTATTCTTAATTGATCTAACAGAGATAACAGTTTGTTCAAAATAATAGTTAATGCATTCAATTATGTATGCTTGTATGTGTGTGTATGTGTGTGTGCTTATGTATAAAGTGAAATTAATGACAGCAATGATACAAGGAATGGGAAGAAGAAATTGGGATTATATTATACCCACTGTGGTATAGTGTTATTTGAAAGTGGACTTGAATTATTTGTAAATGTAAATTGCATACTCTGGGGCAACCACTAAAAAAAAGTTAAAAAGAAGTATAACCAATATGCTAAGAAAAAAGAGAAAATGTAATCAGACAAAATGTTCAGTTAAAACCATAAAGGGCTGGAAAATAGTAAAAGACAAAAAGGGAACAAAGAACAAGAGCAATAAATAGAAAACAGTAACAAATATGGTAGATATTAATCCAACTACATCAATAATCATTTTGAATATCAATGGTCTAAATATACCCATTAAAATTCAGAAATTGTCAGAATGATTAAAAACAACAACTAAATGGTATCTACAAGAAACATATTTTCAACATAAAAATACATATGGATTAAAAGTAAAGGGATGGAGAAAGATACACTATACTAACACCAATCAAAAAAGAGTAAGAGTATTCAGCCATAAAAACCGACAACATAACGACATTTGCAGCAACATGGATGTTACTGGAGAATGTCATTCTAAGTGAAGTAAGCCAGAAAAAGAAAGAAAAAATACCATATGAGATCGCTCATATGTGGAATCTAAAAAACAAAAACAAAAACAGAAACAAAAAATACAAACAGAACAGACTCATAGACATAGAATACAAACTTGTGGT